GTGAAACTCCAGGCTGCACAATGAGGCGGCGGAGATGCTGCTGAAAGCGCTTGCGCAACCAGAATGCTGTTAATTAGAAAATCAATTAAGATTCAGATCATCACTCATCTACGAATATATCCTGAAAAAGCTAGCTTTTTGGTTTATTTCATAAAAGACGAATCATAAAGACTGAAATCAGATGATTAAAGTTCAAGTTGAAGCGGGATCATTTGAGCCTTGTCACGTTTGTTTTCATCATGGAGGGTGGAGACCAATAAACAGACCTGCATCGTGTCATGAAGGGGAGGGCTTTTCCTGGTGCTGTTATATGTCTTTTAGAGCCGTGGTGTTTTAAGTTCATAATGCATCTGACTTGACGCGGGGGAGAATGGAGAGGCGAGCGCAGAGGACGGCGCGCGCAGGAGAGGGGTGGGTGGGGGGGAGGCGTGATTTCACCTCCGACAGAAATAACGGGGACGATGATAAAAAACAGGGGGGGAAAACCCACTCTGAGAGAAGCTGAATGGATGGAGCCAGAGCCACGTCACTGGCAGCCGCAGCCATGAAGAGCGCGCGCTCCAGCCTCGAGGCGAATCACTCGCTCTCTGTCTCCCGAGACGAGCGCTTCTCGCTTTTGGAGTGCGGGATCCCGCAGCGGCTCGCAAGCGACGGCGTGAGTATGAAATGCCATCTTTGTTTCTTTTTAACAGTCCGGGCGGGGAAGAAAAAAAACCCCACAGCGGCAGCGGTTGCAGGATATATCTGCTAAAATATTAACAGGAGAAAAGCGCGTCTGCATCCGCGCCGCGTGCACCGACAGTCTGCACACATAACGGGATGTAGTCTGAATATGGGCGCTGTTTGAGCACCAGGTCATCGGATGAAGATATGTTATTTTGTCTTTTTTTTTTTTTTTTGCTCTGTTTAGATGCAAGTGTAGTGTAAAAAAATTATATATATAAAATAGGAGCTTCTACTGACCGGTTGATTGTTTTGCACATTTTGGTGCACTTACATCTCTGAAAACCTGAGCTTTTTTTATGTCTTGAATTTGTGGATGGAATTGCGCACAGGTGCTGTGAAAGGTCACCATCGAGGAGAAACTTGTCCTCTCTGGAGGAGCAATAAAACATAAAAGAAGAACTTCTAATTGGATCTGCTATATAGTGAAACTCCTTCCTTCACCGTGTCAGTGACGCATTGTGCCAAAGACTTCATGTGCGCCATTCACGTGGCGACACAAAGGGCCCAAAATGCGCCTGATTTCTAATCCCCTCCGAACACTTAGCAGGGCCACTCTGTGGTTCCAGCAGCAGCAGCTGTAAGGACTGGCGTCATATGAGCATCAAAGCATCCGAGCTGTGGAGAAAACCGAAAAAAAAAAGGGTTTGCATTTCTTTTCACGTTAAACCCTGTGCGGCCACGAGGCTCAGAAATAAGGATTATCCGCAGAAAAACCTGCAATACATGCGCAATAAGACAAAGTAAGTGCATTCACACCCATGTTGGATAAAGGCAATCACAAGGCCAAATATCCAGCGCACACGTGTGCGCCAAAGTACAGCCCTGTGCCGAAAACACGTGTGCGCCCCCAGAACTCACCGGGGCAGAAAGCTGAAGCTGGGGGGGACACTGAGGACCAATAAGGGAGAAGAATTCAAATTGATAAAAAAAGACATAGTTCACGTGATGATCATGAGTTAATTTATAGGCACAGAACAGTTCTAATGAGTGCAATGTTTGCACTTCATTTTAAACTCAATATGCGTCAACCTGGTTTTAGTTAGGATTCAATGAATGATAAAGCATAATTTTTAGAATGTCCAATTTATAATTCGCATCTCAAACACCCTCTCACATTTACATATAATCACACACACACACACACACACACTGAGGAATAAAGCTGCGTGTGCCGCGGCAGTGTGTGTTGGAAAGCTGATTGCGCGTCACCCACTGCGCGTTCTGTTGTGGCAGAAATCCTCCACAACAGCAGTAATGAGCTGTGCTAATAACCAAGCTGTTTTAGAATCAAGACTGAAGTCTACACCTTCCCAGGCCCATCATCATTATGTCTCTAAAAGCCTTTTTTTTTTTGTTATTGTAGAAAATGCAATTTAAAGACTTTCTTGTCTATAATATGCAAAGTTGGACAGTTTGGCATTGCTGGAAGAAAGCTCCAGTGGCCTTACAACACGTGGCTCAGACATTAGAAGTGATCTGCATTCTCACTTTCCCCCCAAACAGGCTTTTGATGCCAGGCTGAAAGGGTGAAAAGCCTCTCTTTAGTGTGAAAAAACATTTTTTTAAGATTTTGAAATAGCTATACATTGCATGAGTGGAAACAAAATGATTACATCACTATAAACTCTAGAAATAATTATTCAGAAACTCAGTTTCTGTGTTTTACAGTGAAAATGTTGAGTTCAAATTTTTTTAATGACAAAACTGCATTGTGTATTTTGGATATTAAGTATTTTTTTTCTTTTGCACTGGATTTGGAGACTAATTTTTACAAACAGCTATTTAATAAGTTGCACAGCCCCTCCCTCACTGTCAGTGTGGCTGTCACTCATCAGAGCTCATGAAACACAAATCCAAACAGATTATTTCAACGTTCATTCTGGTAATTTATGCATATCCATTTGGCTTCATAATATGTGTAAAGATTGCAAGATTTTATTGCAGGAATCACTTTCATACTAACAAGATTTGAATCTTTTTTTTCTCCAATTAGAGGAGCTGGATTTAATGACGTCACACACGTCCTGGCCAATAGCACTGCCTGATGAGGTTTGTTCAAGAGCAAAAAGTCAAACCTCCTAATTTTGCTTTAAACAATGACACACTATATTGGTTTTATTACTCAAACTGGAGGCAAATTGAAAATCTAATGTGCTTTATTTAAGAAAAGTAATTTTATGTGAATTACATCACACAGGCATGAAAACAATTAGGTGTAAATTTAACAAACAGGAGAAAATAGAGCAGAACACACAAAGAAAGAAAGTGATAAGATGCTGCAAAACATTAAAAATAAATAACTCGTCATCTCCATCAAATCTATTAATAAAACAGGTATTTATATTAGGAAAATATGATTAATCTATTATGATTTGTTCTAAGCTTAGAATTGTCCAAATATATCATCATAAAAACCTGTTTAGAAAATGTTTAATAATAAGTTAGCATTGTTCTTAATAAAAATAAAGAATTTAAAATTATTAATAAGTAATGACATAAAAATATGCATAACAGTTAGATTTTAAATTAGAGGAAACATTTCAGATTTGCATTAGTCTTGTAGCTTTAATTAAAATAAACTGTATTAATTGCAAAATTACATTCAAATTTTGAATTAAATTTTTTTTACGCAGTACATTTTGTAAGGAGTATATTCTGGAAAAGGTGTGTGTGTGTGTGTGTGTGTGTGTGTGTGTGTGTGTGTGTGTGTGTGTGT